AGGGCGGGACAAAATGTGTAACAAATTCAAAATCCTAAGAAAGACTAGGCTTACTGATCTGACACTTGCAGAACCCCTAAGAATATGGCCTGAGTAGGCCTTATGTACCTATCCAGCAAGAACTCAAGCTCAACTTTCAGTCAAAATAGACACAGGTTTACAAGGTGAACAGTAACATAAGGAAGATAAATACTCATCACAACAATCAACCATATACGATTTTTGCCAAGGGCTAAAGCCCCAGGGGCAGGCATACTAAAGAAGGTAAAGAAAAATAGTAACCACAGGGAGGAAGTGAGAAGAGTAATGTTATATTGAGATTGTAACCAATATCTAAAAAACCATGTGTATAAAATGCTGAATGGAAAACCAATTTGCTACCTTTCACCAAAGTTATAAAAAAATTTTTTTTAAAAAACCTATGTAGCACAGATCTACTCTGACACACATGAAGTTGACATGAGTCTGATTGGGTTTGACAACAACTGTCACAACACATCAACAATAATCCAGCATGAAAGAGAATGACACAAAGGTTGACCATCAGAAGTCAATAATTACTGAAGCCATCTTGGAGGCTACCTCCTTACTCCAGGTTAGGCAGGGTCTCATCTCGTGGCCTATACTTTTACCGTTGATCTAGAATGTTCTTTTCTTCACCATACTTTGCTGATGGTATTCAAATCTTCAGCAACAGCCTCATAAGGACGAGTAGTGGGCATACTCATGTCACAAGATCTAATGTTCTAATATTAGGGCTATAATCAAATGAGAGTTCAATCCATTCATTTAACTACGGTTTCTCTATGTCCCAGTTCATGTTTGGAGACACGGTTATCATTTTACTGTAGCATACAACAGATCATCCATCCCGCAAGGGACTTGATGTAATTCTATTGTCAGCAACATAATCATACTAAATGGTAAAACACTATTGTGCAAAGGATTTTATGCATGTGTAGAACTTCTAAGTTGAGGAGTCACCTAAGTCCACCCAGAAGCACACCAGCTTGTACGATCCGAGGACTGTAAACAGTAAGATCCAAACTCAGAGGAGGGAAGGGTACCAGTTCCTTGATTCTAAACACCCAGTTTATGGACTGCTATGGATGATAGTGGAAGCCCAAGATCCATTTTCAGGGTCCCTATGTTGATTGAGTCCTCAGTGAATCCCCACTGTCCATAGAATCTGAGCAGCCCTACTATCAGAAAAAGAGCTTTTTGTAAAGTGGTTCTTGGAAGTTGGACTTAGACTGGAATGTAACAACTTATCAGCAGATCTCCCTTTCAATCTGTCCTAATTTTTTTTCCAAATAGTTTTATTGACATATAATTCACATATTATACAATTCAATAGTTAAATCACATCAAGAAAAGTTGTACAATCATCACCACCATCAGTTTTAAACCATTTTCTTCAATCTTGTACTCATTATTATTAGCTCCCGATTCTGCTAGCATCCCACCCATAACCTCCCATGCTATTTCCCCAAGGGAGCAGTAATCCAGTTACTGTTTCTATAAACTGTAACTGTTTATTTACCTGTCCTGGATTTCATATACAGGAAAATATTAAAACAACAACAAAAACTAACAAGAATAACAAGTTAAAAGATAAAAACCTCACTGGAAAAGAAAGCAGAACATACTAAAAACTGGAACAAATTTACATGGATCACAAATTAGATCAAATGATCAGATGCTAAATTTGAACGTAACTTCATTGCAGCCATCCACTTTTCAGGGCACTCTACATATCAGCACGGCTGTGCACACCACTGCTTCATGGCCAGAGCAGGTTCGCCAGGGGCTTAATCCAGGTGTGTTTTTTTTTCAATTCAAACAGCTTTAAAATGGGTCTAAGAGGAGATCAAATGACATTCCATTTTGACCTAACTACATCTGCCATAACTGACTTTACATGCTCAACTATGATTGTACAGGATTCACTGGAGGCTAAATCCATGTGTGGGTCCTACAAATGGATTTTGGGTTTCCACTGTCATCCACAACCTTCTGCAAAGTAGGTATTTACAATTTAAGCTCTAATGCCATTCCCTCCCTCCTTTAGATTTGGATGATATTATTTACAATCCTAGGATCACACAAGCTGAAGTGCTTTTTCCATGTGGACTTAGTGGACATCTCACTTAGCTGCTTGTTTGAAAAGAAGGCTTTAAAAAAGAAAAGAAGCCTTTAAGACCTCAGACACTATTCTGATAGCCAAGTACCATCCAGTTTCTTCACCACACTTTACTATAGCATCCATATCTTCAGTGATTTCTTCATGAGGTCAAGGATCATGCAGGGCCGTGTCATTAGAACTAAGGGCTAGAATTAAGTGCAAACCCAAAATCCATTCATGCGTCTCAGGCTCACTTTAGAGATCATTATCATTTTATGTTAGAGAACATTGTCAGTCTTCCCCCTGGGGCATCACTGCCATGGCCATCAAGTCAATGTTGACTTATAGAGGCCTCATAGGGCATGGTAGGGCTGCCCCTGTGAGTCTATGAGCCTGCAAATCTTCACAGGAGTAGAAAGCCTCTTTACCCTGCAGAACTTGCTGGTGGTTTCAAACTGCTGACCTTGCAGTTAGCAGCCCAATATATAACCATTACAGGATAGTGTCATTTAGTTTAGCCAATGGTGTAGAATTTAAAACTGTTGAGAAAAGGAAATCCTACCAAGTATAGGCCAGCTATGAACTATAATACATGAATTGTTGACTTGTACTGATTCAACTCTTAAGTAACTGGTCACTAATTAAACAAACAATGGAGGTTGGTGATAGGGCATATCTTCCAATATTCATTCACAAAAGCAGAGCCATGCCTACAAGATTAACATGTCACAATGAAGCAAGGAAGACATTAAAATAGTGTATGGCAGTTCTAGACCACCACTCATTGGGCAACCTAAAGGCAAAAGATTCGAACCACAGTCCAACATCCACCAGTTCTGTGCCCTTGGGCTAGTAAAGTCATCTGCTTCTTACACTGGGGAGTTTCAGTTTTAAGTCCACTGGGTACAGGTGGATGTAAGGTAAAAACCAGTTCATTTAGTGGGGATTCCACATCAGGTCCTTCTGGTGTGGCCTACGAAGGATGTTGTACACCTCGGAAGGATGGAGTCTAAAGTTCTGGTAGCCTATAGAGCACAGAATGGGTCACTAATAGAACTACAAAATAGAAATAGAAGAGAAACTACGAAAGGATCAAATTAGGAACCTACTATCAGGTATATTCTCCCATTGGGTTCCATGTAAATGTTAAGTGCTTTTTTCCCCTTTGGGAGGGTGCGCTCCTTGTTTTCCTACCAACAGAAGTATTGCCTTCTCTGAGACATATGTGCCTCCTCCTCCTATCTTGACCTGAATTTCCAGTGAAGTTTCCTAATCACTCTGGTGGGAGTATCTGTTGGAATGGAGTGACCTTAAAACAATTTTGTGTGGCAGCAACTGAATAATCATCTCCCTCTCCCCAGACTTTGAAAAAAAGACCCCAGATGAGGTAGTGTCTCTGTGGAAGTGGTTTTTAAGAGGCACACTTAGAAGGGGTAGAATGTGCTTCGTGGACAATAGCAAACTCTCTCCTTCAACTTAAGGGCGCTTCATGGACAATAGCAGACTCTCCTTCACCTTAAAAGCCTGGATTAAAAGAATGCATTGCCCTGGGGACAGTGACCTGCCTTCACCCTGGTGTTTACATGCTAAAATTTTAATATCCTCTGCTTCTCTCAGATTGAGGTCTTTCTCTGTTTTAGATGACCATTGTTGCTGAGATCTTTTGGGCAGGGGGATAGGGCAGCATTCTTTGTAGTTATTTTGTATGTTTTTCTGTATACTGTAGCCAGGATGGGTGGATTTATGAAGACAGTAATTGAAATAATACTCACCTGGGGCACAGAAAAGGAGAATGGGGGAAAAAGGGGCCAACACCAGTGAGTACAAGGAGGAAGTAAATGCTGCAAACTTTATTATGGTGATGATTGTACAACCTTCCTAATATGATAGAACTACTGAATTGTATGTGTTCATTATCGCTCAATAAAACTAATTTTTTAAAAAATAGATGCAAAAAAGAAATATTCTCTTACCAATACGGCCAGCTCTCTCTCTCTCTCTCTCTCTCTCTCTCTCTCTCTCTCTTTCTTTCTTTCGCTCTTACACTCAAATACTGGTGTTTCAGATGCCTTTCTTTGGTCCCTATCTAAGAATTGAGTTAGCTATCCTTTCATTTCATACCTCCCTTTGTCCTTAGCATTCATCAATAACTCAATACATTTTAATCTATCCTGTGTATTGTTTACCTCCCATTTGAAATGTAAGCTCCTTATAAGTAGGGAGGTAGGAACTTTTCAGTTATGTTTGGCTTGCTTTTTCTGCTAGTACCTAGGACAGTTTTTGGCACATAAGAGGTGATCAATAAATAAATGTTTGAATGAAAAGTCAAAATAGCAGCCTCTTCATTTCTTTGATTGTTCTTAAACTTAGAAATTTTGTTCCACATTCCGCCTCACTGCTTTTTTTAGTTTACCACAGAACATTTATATAATTGTTTGATCCTGAATACTTTTGAAGACTCAGTATCTTTAAGGATGTCTTCTATGTACCTTTTAAAAAGAGATGATCAATATAAACTTGAACAGCTTTAACAATTACACAGCTCTTCTTCAATTTGGAATGGGAATCAATGGAGGGAGGAATTGAGAACAAGATGTTTTCTAGGACCTTTCATTTTTAAATTCCCTCTGAAACTGAGAAAAGTCAAGAAAACATGCATCAGACATATTTTAATCAAAGTAAGTCTTTTACTCAAGTAAAATATGCTATAAAGCAACTGAATGAAATTTGTAAGCTTATATTTTAAATATTTTTAATGTTCTTTAATTTTAGTCAATTGTTATTGTTTTAAATTGTATAATATGATACTGTTCTTAAATATGCAAATATTCTAGTGTATAGCTGTAAGATTTTCTGAAAACATTTTAATACATACTTGATAAGAGTCCAGCCCACCACAACCATTCCTTAAGATATGCATGGCCGCCTTGACCTGTGAATGAAGAAATACTTTGTTTTGAAGGATTATATGACTTATATAAATTATACCAACTATTACTATTGATAATTCTTAGTCTCTTTAGTTGCCACTTTAAGTAAAGGTTTCTGTATACATGGATAATTTCTTTTTTTTTTTAAATCAATTTATTGGGGCTCATACAATTCATCACAATACATAGATCAATTGTGTAAACCACATCTATACATTTGTTGCCCTCATTATTCCCAAAATTCGCTTTCCTCTTGGGTTCCCGGAATCAGCTCATTTTCCTTTTTTCCCCTCCCACTCCCGATAAATAATTTCTTAAATAATATTTTTATGGTTATTTTAGGTAAAGTGTATATGAGAATAAAAATGTTAAAAATGTCAGAACTATATGTAAGTGAAGGAATTAAACCAATCATTACATTCTGGTTTATTGTACACTCAACTGCCATTAGTAAAGTAAAATCCCATGACATAATAGTCCCGACTTCTAATGAATTAGTCTGAATTTAAGTAATCCCACTTATGATAGTCACCTCGGACAGTCCTGTGGTGGTTAGGCACAGATTGAGCACTGCTCAGCCTGGGGCCACCATGGTAATCATCCCAGGCTTATCTTTCACTCGAACTAATAAAATAAGTAAGTCACTGATTATGAACACCAAGTTTATGAGCATTTCTTATATACCTATTTCTACAGACACAGATGTGTGTCAAATTGACACATGAAGGAAACCACACATTTTCTTTAAAAAAAAAAAACTTATTTTATTTACATCAACATAACTATATACTATTAACATAAATGAACTATGTGATACTATATATTTAAATGAAATTCATAATATTTAACATTATACAACCTTTGAGATACTAAGTTCAACATATCCCAAGTGTAACTTGGGTTGGTCAGTATGATAATCTCCACTGAATTGTTTGTCTTTACATTTGATGTTTACTTTCTAAGAACTTTTGGACTACATTTCTATTTATTACTGAAGTAATGCTTTCATGAATAAAATAGATTACCTGGGATTAATACTCATTTTATGTTTGCATCAAATTGATGCATATTCAGAGATAGGTATTTTGAGCTTAGAGGGCTTAGAAGTAAATTAATTTAGATATATTTTTCTCATTAAATGGATAAAAGTCAGAAAAAATGGTAGACAAATAAAAACCATTTTTGTAATTTTCATTGATGAAATGAAAATGCATCAAAAACAATGAGACTGAGGAAACTAGTAGATGTCAATACTTTTTCCTTTGCCCACTATATACCAATAAATGATACTGATTTAAGATTGCTGAATTAGGTTTGTCAACAGAGGTAGCACAGAAGAAAGTGGTATTTTCATTGTCAAAGTTATGTCTTTTCAGGTTGAAACCGGTCTAAAAGTGAAGCACCGGGAGGATGAACCAGTCATGATGCAATCCTGGGACAGCTGAAGCTGTCAAGAAGAGGCAAATTATGGAGTAAAAGTGGGGTTCAATTATAGCCAGTCTTCCCAAGGACCTTCTAATTTTGTCAGTAATTTCTGGAGGAAAAAAAACCTACACCGCCCAGAGGTTTACTACTGAACCTTAAGTCAGGGAAGCTCTTTCTTTCCTGATAAATTGAAATTATCTAGGAAATCTGTCTAATCTGAAAGGCAGAATTCCCCTTAAAGCTGCTTAACTATCACAGACCCTTGTCTTAATTTTGTTTAATAATTTAATATTTCTTTCTCTGCAGGCCTATCAAAATCTAAAGAAAAGGCTAGATGCTAATTGGACATTGGTCCCTATTTCCACTTTTGTAAAAAAAATAAAAAACAGCGGAACTAAAGGAGTGGGTAGTTGACTTATTTTAACATCTCAGTTTTTGAGTTTCCTAACTAAAAAACTGATCTCTGATTTTCTGTAGAATCTGGAATTCTTCCATAGTTCGAAGTTTTGAGTATAATCATTAGGAATAAAGTCAAGGGTGGCTTCTGTTAACAGATCTCAGTATATACTCAATACTGATGTCCATCAGATGCCTCGTGAGACACACTTACCTGCTCTCATAGAGCCTTTTCTGGCAAGTCGCAGGAGGCCCTTTTTCTTCAAAATGAAACTCCCTCCAATGAAAATGCTGGAGCTCATAGCCAATCCCAGACCAATATAAAAGTCATATTTTCCACGCCCGTGGTTCATGTCGTTTACTACTTAAGAAGTTCCTGTGAACTACATTGATCACACAACAGAGAAATTGCTGGTTCTGGAGCAGGATGGGACAGTCTTCAATTCTAAACAAAAAAAAAAATTAGAATGCGATTTTTATAGAATGATCTTAAGAATTCTCATGTAAGTCAAAATGGTACTCCTCTTATCTTCTCAGAAAGAAACATTTTATTACTATTGATAACATATACTCACTAAATTTTACACCAATCTATTCCTTCAGTATGGCAATATATGAGATGACATAAAATTAATTCGAAATGATTTATAAACTCAGGTTTACTATAGAAAAAAAATACAGTCCTAGATAACTGTCCACAGTAATAAAATTTTGCTGATTAAATTTTTTTTTTTTGCTGATTAAATTTTTACAGAAAAATCCAACCATAACAATATACAAATATAACTTAAATATATATTCCAATTTCACAATTGTGCTTTTTGAATAATCAATAGAGAAACTAAACATTAGTTTACTCTTAAATTTTCATTTACTTATAAGAAATATATATGGATTTAAGAATATGAAAATATACTCCCCATTAGAGAGTGAATGGAAAAATGATAAGAAGCTCGAGTGGCACAGTGGATCAAGCATCTGACTGCAAAGTACAAGGTTGACAGCCAGTTCAAATCCACCAGGCATCCCAAGAGAGGGAAATGTCTACTCCCACAAAGATTTACAGTCTCAGAATGGATAAGGAACAATTCTACTATGTCCTATGGGGTCACTTTAATGAGAATCAACTCAAAGCCAGTGGGTTTATTGAGAAGGCAGAGTTCAGTTATTTTGTTAGTACAGGATGACAAAAGTGGCAGATAAACATTTACCAGAGGTGTGGGGTGTGGAACCAGAGCAGAGCACTCGAGAACATGAGGACAACAGGACCTAGAAGGCTCCATGAATAAGGCAGTGTGACTCGAATAGGAAGTACAGGAGTACAGAAGCCTACACAAATCTTTCTATCAGAAACCCATTGGGGGAAAAAATCTTTCTAAATGCACAGTTCATAAACTCTGAGAAATGTAGGAAGCAGAGAAAACACAGTATTTAGGTTGATGATTATTAATAACTGCCTACAATTTCCTGGTTTTAGGATCTTTAGTCCTCAAACTAATTTGTAATTCAGTTGTGATCACTTTGACTTCACTAACCTAATTTTCCTTTCTCCAGGTCATGAGACCTTGCCCCATTAACCTTGCCTCTTATTTTATCCAACACTACATATTCTGTACGTGTTTATGTTCATTCATTGACTGTCCAAAGAAAGCTTTTGACCTTCATGGGGAGACATAAAATAAGGGCTAGTAAAAACTATACTCGTAAACACAGCATCACCAAACTGCGTTGATAACACTCCAGGCATTAAAGTGTCAGCATTTTAATTTGTATAAGATTATGGTTCCCATAAATTTTTTCCTTTCTTTAAACTTTTGTTGTGGTTGATAATATATTTAATATAACAAATATTTAAACAGTTTTTACTTATACAACTCACTAACATTAATTATATTCTTCAAGTTGTCCACCCATTCACAACTTTCTTTTCTGAGTTGTTCTTCCCACATCAACATAAAGTTCCTAACTAATCTTTCAATTTATAGGTAGTTCTTTAAAAAGAACTCTACTCAATGCAGACCTTTGTACTACCAAAGTAAAATGATTATTTGGTTCCTTTTTTCTAATTTTTTTAATTGTGAATTAGGTGGGGGCTTACATTTCGCAGCATTTTTGTATTTAACAATTTAAACAACGTAACAAGCCTTCCAAGAACTTGCTCGCCTTCTTTTTCTTTTTCTTCTCTAGTAGCCTTATTACCTTCTCTTTCAACTTAGCTAACACCGTTCTACAATGCAGTCCTTGCTTTCCCTTCCCTCCCACCCCTGGAAGGTTAAAAATCTGTTTTTTATTTGTTATCAAAAAAACTTTATCTTGAATTTGTCTTGTATAACAATGGCCTCACGCAATATTTTTTCCTTTGTCATCTTTATTTATTAAATACTTTTATTAGTGGTCTTACATCTCTAATCACAATCCATACATTCATCCCTTGTGTCAGGCACATTTGCATGTATGCTGCCATCATCATTTTCAAAGCATTTTCTACTTGAGCCCTTGCTATCAGCTCCTCATTTTTCCCCTCCCTCCCCCCCTCACACCCTCCTGAACCTTTGGTAAGTTATAGATTGTTATTTTCATCTTACATCATCCTCTGTCACCCTTCACCCACTTTTCCGTTGTTCGTCCCCCTGGGAAGGGGTTATATGTTAAACCTTGTGGTCAGTGTCCCCTTTCTCCCCCCACCTAATCCTCCTGGTATCTGTATTCTCATTGTTGGCCCTGAGGGGTTTATCTATCCTGGATTCCCTGTGTTGTGAGCTCTTTTCTGTAGCAGTGTGCATGTTCTGGTCCAATTCAATTTGTAAGGTAAAACTGAGGTCATGATAGTGGGGGGAAGAAAGCATTAAAAAACTAGAGGAAAGTTGTGTGTTTCATCGGTGCTATGTTGCACCCTAAATGGCTTGGCTCATCTCTACTTTGTGACCCTTCTGTGAGGGGATGTCCAATTGTCTACAGATGGGCTTTGGGTCTCCACTTCATGACCCCCACCCCCTGCAGCCTCACACAATATTCGTCCCTTTGTAATATAACTAACTTCACAGAGCCTAATGTCCTCCAAATTCATCTATGTCATGAAGTGTGTTACAGCTTCATCATCACTCTCATGATGTGTAATATTCCATCGAGTGTGTGTACCAACATCTGTTTATAGATGGTCTACTGATGGGCATTTAAGTTGTTTCTATCTTCTTGCAAGTGTGAGCATGCTCACAAAAATACCTATCTGTGCTACTTCTGTAGGGTAAGTAACAAGGGATTGCTGGGACATAATAGTATTTCTATTCCCAGTTGTTTAGGATAGGGTTATACCCGTTTAGTGAGCAAGTTAGAGCAATTGAAAGCCCAGTTTTGACAGACATATAATCCCACACAGTCACCAAATTATCTGATGCCTAATGTGAAGTATAAAACATAAATGAACAATTCTGCATCAGAGGAGGAAGTCTCAACTCCACATTGCTTAGCACTGTCCATTTTGTTAAGTGTGCACCCATTAAAGAAGTCAGTAAAGAGTGTCCTGAGTGAAGAGCAGGAAAAAAGGGAGACAGGACTATCCCAAGGGCTTTCACGCCAAGCACATTCTGCTCATGGCACTGTCATCCTACGGTCACAGTTTTACAATCCCACCAGCAGAATATAAAGGCTCCAATCTCAACACAACCTCCTCAAACGTCCTTCTGTTTTTGTTTTGTTTTGCTTTAACTCTGCTTGGTAATGTAGAGGATGAAGGAAACAGACAACCCAATTGTGAGGATGGACAAGTCTAGGCAGTTACACAGTCACATTACTTGGAACTGACCTGGTGACACCTAGCGATAACAAACGCTATTTTAAAATTCAGAAGCCCTGGTAGCTCTGTAAGTAAAGTGTTGGGCTGCTAACCATAAAAGGTTGATTGTTCAAAACCATCAACTGCTCGGTGTGATAAAAATGAGGCAGTCTGCTTCCATAAAAAGTTACAGCCTCGGGAGCCCTGTGGAGTAATTCTACTCTGTTTATGGAGCTATTTAAACCTCTTTTTTCTTTTCCATTTTATCTACTTATTATGGAAAATTTCAAACACAAAAGCATAAAGGGCTCTTTTCTTTTTTTAACTAATTTTCTAATGTTCCCAGTTGGACCAATCACACATATATAGCTTCCCAGAGTATAAACAAGTCAGGACGCCACACCTTTCCTTCACTTCATCTACTTTATTTCCCAACACAGATTAGTGGCTCCTGTTAAAATAGTAGCTTACCCTTAGGGAGTTCAAATGATTAAGCACTGATCACGAGACAAAATGTTAAAAGTAAGGACTGGCTGTCTGCTTCTGAACGGTGGCAGCTTTCAAATCCCTATGGAGCACTTCTACTCCGCACACGGAGTTCATTCACCCCTTCAAAACGGCCTCAAAGGCAAGGAACTGCCTCTATTTAGCGTCCACTCTGGGCTCAAGGTCAGTCACATGTCAGGCTGTTACAAAAGCATTTTCAACAACTCTAAAATCCTATTATTTTTTATTCTATTTTTTCTACATATTTTTGAAGCCTTCTTAAGTATCAAAATGTAACTATCATTTTATCCAAGCTTATCCTAAAATAAACTACTGAGTATCCAGAAAAAATTTCCACACAAAAAGCACTCATTTCAAAAACTTTTGGAAATGGTTAGTGGTGATTGTACACAATATGGTGAATTGTACACTTAAAAAAGGGTTAAAATGGCAAAACATCTGCTATGTACCTCTAACTACAATAGGATTTTTAAAAACAAAGCAAGCCACCAAAGATGATGATGAGGGTAGGTGGGAAGATACTTATTTATAGTGGTAAATGTGATTTATAGAAGCCTTTTTAAATTAGATTGGATTCGTTTGTTTGTTTCAATTCGGTCCTCTTTGTTCACTGGTGGAACACTTTACCAGTTGTGAGGTATATGAGTGTGGAGGGGAGAACGACAAGCAACATACACTCTGGAAGGCTTTAAATAATAAAGCAGTTTTCAGGTACTACACTAAGTAAATGAGTTATTTCACTGAACATTTAACCTAGGATATCAACATAAGTGTCCTAAAGAAATGCCCTGATTCTGAAACCCAGTAATGCTCTACTTCCATTCTGTGACTAAAACTAGTGGCAGTTCAGAAAGCTGTCACAAAGATACTTTTTACGCTTAATTATTAGCCATAAAGCAGGACCAGGCTTAAAGACAGCTAGACAAGTACACTTGCTAAACTTCACTTCAACTAGGTTCCCAAAGCAGACATTATGTGCTCCAGTTAGCAATCTGCCCTTTGTACTTTGGAGAAACACTAGCGGAAGGCCCACCCCAACTACTATTGTTGCTTACAGGCGACAATCTGTTCAATAAACACATACTCCCTATGTACTACGTGGCAGGCAATAAAGTTACAAAGATTACCAAAAGGCCCTGCCCTCAAGGATTCAACAGATAAAAATT